AAACTAAATTGGAAACAGATTAGGGAGCGTGAAACCTAAGTTGGATCAGAACAGCGGATGTCTAGTCTGCACGTAGAATATATGCCGAAAGCTACGAAAGTATTAGAACTGCACATATGAGGCGAACTCATGGTCGGTCGTCGGTCATAGTCGGTCGCCCGACAGCAACGATCGTAACGGTCGCACAGCGTTAGATACGTACCGATCGTCAAATATTCAGGCAAGTCTGACGATCGATACGCATTGAATGCTAGGCGACAATTACGATCGTTGCTGTCGGACGACCGACTATGCATGCGCCCTACGAAGACCGTTCCGAATTAAAAGTCAAAAAATCTCTAAGACCGCTTTCAAAGTCTGGAGCAGTGTCACGCAGTCATTCTGGTAAGGAACCTTTCGTGACCCACGTGACTCTTCTCTTACGATTGTCACCACTTCTTACAGCAAAAATACTTACGGGTCACTAGTAAAAAACGAAGATTACCTGTCTTCCACCCGGGAACATCTTTCATGATTTCTTCTTCCAGATCTCTATTTTTCTTCAATAGCTTCAGCCAACTAGAATCCAATATTAACAAATTACTGTAAATAGGGATCTGAGTGTAAGTACTAACTATCTATCACGTTCGGCAGTGAGAAACGGCTCCATCGCGTTATTAATATCGACATCCTCGAACTTCTCAGTTCTAAAATTTGATCAAAATAATTATATGCATGGCCTCAAAACACTACTAGCAAGTCTCAAATCAGTGAGCATTAAACCTACACATCGCCTTCTTTTTATTGATAGCCTGGAACACACCAACAGTTGTTGCTCCGAATACGGCAACCACGACAACACCAGCTAAATTATTTTGTAGATATTAGGAGAGAAAATCCTTACGAGCGTCTGGCCAAAGTAGGTAAAAGAACTGGCCATAAATAAGGTTAAGCAAATCCAATCAAAAAATTATATCATTTATAAACATACGCCTCCAGACAAGCTTCGGAAATGTGCGAGCGTAGTTGAACTTCCGATAACCCCCTGGAGGGGCATATCCTTTGTCGGAAACCGGGATTATCCGACATCCCGATACCTCAAAAAAAGTATTTATACAAAAGAAACCCTCAAAAACAAACAACAACGACAATAGAGTTCAAAAAATTGATCGAATGCCTTCGAATGTAGACGTGAACTCCTGCGAACATGGTGAGATTGCACTAAATTCGCAGTACCGTACACGTGATTGGAGGGAGCTTTACATTAGCCGCATTCCCATATCGGGGTCTCGTGCGTTCGGCCGATTTCAAGAAGTGTTTGACAGCCCTCAGCTCTCCAAAAAAGCTCTCGGTAGGACATTGCTAGAGTCAAACGGGTATATGTGACAACTCATGTTAGTGGAAAGCAATAAATATTTCAAAGAAATGCGTATTTTAAGTATCTTGAGAGTTCATTTCCTTTGAAAATTGAGTGTTTGGTAAGTTTAGTATTTTCGGGTCTCATCCAGTAAGGGGGGGGGGGGGCATTGTGATGCAACGTCAAGTGGCTGCCCTCACCCCCCCCCCTAGACTGCCTTCACTCCCCCTGGCTCACGGGGTCCCGTACTTCGAGAAACCTGTGCGCCAGGGGGAGTGTAGGCAGTCTAGGGGGGGGGGGGGGGTGAGGGCAGCCACTTGATGCCCCCCTTACTGGATGAGACCATCGCTTTATTTTCCTGCCAATGAAATCAATGGTTTTATTAACATTACTAGCTATAGTGGCGTTGGTTCATTCTTGCGGTGGCACACTGGCCTTTGAGAGAGCCGATCCGGAAGAAACATCAGGGCGTTAATAAAATTGTTACCTTAAAACTTCCGGAGAAAAATCCGAAGCTTGAATAACGATGTCGAGGTCTTATGGAGAAAGAACAAGAAGATGGGTTGTTTGGTACTTTTTGAGCCTACGAGCTTTTGAGGCTAAGTGGAAGAGGTCTTTAGCGAGATTGATGTGTGCGCGATGCTCATTTGCTGAGGCCACATGAGAGACCTGGCGAGACGTTTAGTTTCAAATTTTATTTTTCAATTTTCGTCAATACAAGGCTAGCGCTGAAAGTTATGTTTCTTTTATTATGAATTTTATGACCAAATATATACTGTGGAGGGTCTTCTATTCACATAAAAAGAAGGGACAATTTGCTGTTTAGCGCCTTAGATTTTGAAAACCCTACAGTCCTCTTTTACAATAAAAACTAAAGAGGTGACACCCACTTATTTCCTTACTTTTACACAAGCAAAGTAGTTCACCCACTACGGAATTTTCTTCCCCTTTCCATTAGTTGTGAGGGGATAGAAGGAAGTCACAAGTCGCGAAGACCACAAGTACGACCTCCCTCTGCTTAGAAGTCCCAAATACGGCTTTTTTCCAGTAATTTCCCTTCCTTTGTATTCCTTAACTATAAAGGAAATTTTGGTTTACTACTTTTTTTAAGGAACATGGTATGGTGAACCAGTTTACTTCACCCTAGGAGACAAATGGTGGGATCCCTCAGATCATGAGGTGATTTGTTTGCTGCTTCCTACTTTTTTTCCGTTTTCCTCTAAATGATTATTGCAGATCTTTGCTCACTCAGAGGATAACGTGTTTTACAAAGAACACCTATGGCGACACCATTCCGAGTACTCGGCACCAAAGTTTTACGACAAATGGATCCCAGCTGCTCTCAGCAAATATATTTGGTAGATTCAATTTGTGTAGGTTGTTTGGACAAGGAATAAATAATAGCGTAGTATTAGTTCTTCACAAAATTAGTAGTGAGATAAAAAAATTCATATTAAAATGACTTTATTTTTCGATACTCGTAAAATGTAGTAGTCATTGGCCCAGCCTCACGTCGTGCTGTTTTTCATTGATATGCTATATCCTCCTTCGCCATTTGGGACCATTTCAAAACTATCAGTCGAAAGACCGAAAGGTCGCAAGCACACATTTCCTAAATTTGTGTCAAATTTAAGTAGCGAAGAAAAAACATAGACTTTTCATAAACATACCCAATTCTTTCAGTTTTTCTATCATTTCAGTCTTCAGTTTTTCGTCTCGTTCTTTAATCTTTTGCCGCAGCTCTTCAATTTTTCTCAAGTACTGGGTCCGTTGAGGAAACCTCTCCTGAAATTCCGATGAAGTAGAAAAAGTGGCCGGTGCGAAATTGCAATTACATGGCTGATTTACCGATAAAACGTACTACTTCAGACGACACTTGAACCTCACACCTGTGTTCTCTGAATACTAAGCTTATCAATCAATTTATCGAAATTCCTTGCTATTTTTCTCAAATCATACACTTAAAAGAACCAGTAAGCATTATAACTGCTGAAACATCGCCGCTAACCGTGAGGGCATTTTTCATGGCGGTCATCTGATCGATATGTATCTAATCTTGCGATCGCTACGATCAACGGACGGACTATGAAAGCGTGTTACTAAACAATGAACGGTATATTCCCATTTCGGGGCTGGTACTATGTGCGTTATAGGTCGAGTGCTAACTGCTTCACGACACATTCTTTAGGCGTAAAGTTTTTGGATGCCTTAACATTGGTACGTGAACGACCACATAACTATAATATACTCGCTGAATTATCATTCTGCGGTTTATTGGCTGATACATTTACAAGCTCTATTACAAAATTCGAAGGTTCCAGTCGTCCTGATTGTCAACTGAGAGTGAAGTGATAAACGGTGATTTAAAAGGGTACCCTAAGACCTGTAGATGTTGCCGGAGAATATTCGAGCTGGCTTTGAGCAAAGTTTAAGGCTATAGTGCCACCATATTGTATAATAGTAAGATCTTTTGGTATTTTAACAATGAATGATGATTGGAATGTTTCCATTATTTGACCCAAACCTTGAGTAGCTCATAGTCTTCGAGAGCATTCTGGTATTTCTCAGAAACGTTTGAATATGCAAAGGCTCGCCGTTCCAGAGCTTTATCGTTCGTTGAGTTGGCCTGCAAAATGCGATTGTAAGTAGTGTGAAATATGAAGCATGTAGTAAGGTATAACATACGCAAACAGTAATTTTCATACTCAACCTCTATTGCTTTTGTGGCTGCTCCTGCCGCTTCCTCCCACAGAGCTTGTTTGATATACGCAGCCGAGAGATTGGAATGTAGAACTGAGAGAAGTGACACTTCCTCCGAAGGGCAAATTGCCAGGCTTCCTGAAATGGCATTAAACTATGCATTAGACCAGAATAGCGACGAGGTAGGCTTTACCTTGTATTTGTCTTCGGCTGCCTTGTATTCACCTTCGCCAAACTTCGCATTACCTTCTTGTTTCAACCTTTCAGCCGTTTTCGTGGGTTCGGAATCTTCCCATTCCTCCTCAATAACTACCATTCTGAAGAGAACAAAAACTCACTATCACATGCCAGAATTTCATACTTATGCATATCACTACAACACACATGAATACACAACCTGCTCTGGAATGCTTCAATAATTCATTCGTATTACATGAACGGATACTGGCGCAGTTGACTTTTGCATTGCAAAATTTTCAAGGCCAAAATACAGAAACCTTTCTGTGACCCGACACAAAATTTACTATCTGGCCCGCTCTTAAGGGAAAACATTGGCTGAATTTTCTCTCACACAGCTAAACCACCCTATAGTGAGTGACTGCACAGGGTGAAAGATTTAACTTTTTGCCCAACCAAAACAGTAGTTATGACTGCGTTCACAACTATTCAACGCGGTACTCTCATCAGAGTATAAAAACTGCCTTGAAAATGGATCAATGAGTTTCTTGTTCAAGTGCATCACAGTAGAAAAAAAACATGAATTTACATATTTTTACCCCACTTACACATTATGCAGTTGTTTTACATAGAATATTTTGCTCTCAAAGCTGGCTCCTTTCCAAAGAAAGCTCTTCTTCAGTGTTTTGACAATTCTACGTCAAGAGTGATTACTAGTGATTACCTCAACTATGACAGAAATATATAATGGATGCAACCATCGAAATAGCTAATACGAAGTTCTCTTTATTTTATTCAATAATATAAACAAATATCTACAACAATAACAACATGCAACGATAAATCTGTCATTCTAGTGTTCAGACTCTAAGAACACTTAAGATCAATATAGACTCGCAAGATCGTAAAAGAAAGTCCGCAGTGAGAAGAGCGCTGCGCTCTAGCGACATCCTTTACTCTCATTTGCAGAACTATTCTAGAATATGCCTACTCGAGACATTCATTGAAATAGGTCGCGATAGAGTTCGGAGTAGTTGCTGACAAATCGCACGTCCAGATCCTCTCTCATAAAATCTGGCAGGTCGTCGTAATCTCTTCGATTCTCCTCGGGCAGGAATATCCTCTTGGCACCAACTCTTCGTGCCTAAAAGACCTTGTAGAACTAGTTAAGAGCTGCAGGAAACTTGAAATTCCATTGAGATCGGGGTGACAACGCTGAGGATCACGCTCCACACATTCCTATGAACTTCGTTGAGAAAACACGTTTTTACAAATAAAATAGTGCTATCAAAGACAGCAAAATGATTCCTAATGTGATGCATGCGCTAAGTATGCATTTTATTTTAGAATTAGTGATGAAAGTAGGCAAGCCTGGATCAAAGTGCGTCGAAAGGAATACATAAATAGACCTTCAAGCCCAGTCAACAGTGAAAAATTCGTGAGCTCACAGTTTTCTTTGACCCTGTCAGTTTTCCCTTGTCGAACTAATTGCGTTGAAAGCAACTGCGCCCATTATCGATACTGTTATGGTTAACCCAGGTCGTTGGCGACTTTCGGCTAGGACCGTACTTATCGTCTCGTAATGTTCGTGGGCGTAAGGGACGGGTCCTCGCCCCGTCTCCCCAACGGCTCGAGCTGTGGGATCTTCTAGCTCGGGTGTTCAATAGAGTTTAGTACAGACGGCTATAGTGGTGATCTTGGCGCCAGGCAGCTCTCGTCCAGAATGGTTGGGGTTTTGTCTTCTATCCCCACTGGATCTCAAGCGTCGCTCTGGGAGACAGGGCTCGAACACAGCCCCTCCGTTCGTCCTCTTTTAGAGGCTTAGTTCTGAGGTAAGCACCAAATTGTGGCGGTTCTAAGGACCGAGTTGAAGTGGTCCGTCCACCGTCGGGGACTCCATCCCCTCCCCAACATTCAGCATACGGTCCCAGCCGAAGCGCCAAAAGGGCTGGTTTGCTTACGTCCCCATTATGTCGAATTGTGTCATCTTTGACCGTTCATCAAGATGACGAAATCATTTACTTCCCTTTCGACGTCATGGTCATTCCCCGCTTCTCGCGTCCTTCGTCCGATTTCTTTTCTTATCTTACTGCTATTCCAACAACTACAAAGGCTACGAACACAACGCATTTAATCAGACTAACCCTGCTCCTGACCGCAATGACTTTCTCCTTTATACCACCAACAGGCAGAACTTTTCCTGTCAACGATATCTCCCCAGTCATAGCCATTTCCTGTACAACTGGTTTATTCAAAGCAAGAGACAGCAGAGAAGAAACCACGGTAACTCCAGCAGAGGGCCCATCTTTTGGTGTAGCTCCCTGAGAGAATAAATTAAAAATAAACCTATGGCGAAAAAAGCGGCAGATATTAGACACACCTCCGGCACGTGAATATGAATGTGAGCCTTGTCAAAGAATCTATTGTCCGGTTCATCTTTAGCAAGGATCCCTTTGGCGACCGTTAGGGCAGCCTTTACACTCTCCTAAAAACGGAACAATGCTGCCAGATACGAAAAAACATTGGAAGTAACAATATGTGCTCGTTGCCCTGTACAAACCTTCATCACATCACCAAGATTTCCGGTGACCTCCAAAGTACCTTCTTTATCACTTGAATAATCTACAGGTCGTTTCAGTACTGTTTCTATATACAAGGCAGAGCCACCCATAGCTGTCCAAGCTAGACCCATGATAACCTAAATGAATCATTTCTCAGTCGAGAAATATGATCATATTTAGTACCAAAAAGAAAAATTCCGAATAAGGTAGAGACTTACGCCGGGTGGAGTTTGATCATACATCCTATCGGAAGTGAATTTCGGGCCTTCCCACATATTTTTCCAAATTCTCGCTATTTACAACAATTGTGGGCTGAGGCGATTCAGTGGCAGCAGGTGTCTCAGAATCAACAGGCGCCACAGAACCAGCAGGTGTCTCAGAAATCAACCGGAGCTTCAGAACCTGCACTCATACGATCGGCTATTTGCAGTGCGGCCTTGCGGAATACCTTCAAGGAGCGTAACTTCAGTATCTTTACGCACGAGGAGAAACAATAATCTCACCTATAGAATGCTGCTTCTGTAATTGCGGACTCCGAACTCACGACAATAATGCTTTGATAATTGTCTTCGACCGCGCTATGTCTTACTATTCACGAACTGATCCCTCGCGTTGAGCGACCTTTTCGAAACAAAAGAGCTTCTCTTTTCTTGACGGATGAAAGCATTTTTTGATAAATTGAAGGAATGGGTCTTCAAATTAGTATTTTACACGAGAATAGTAAATGCTTTGGATCGTAATCGAGTAATATCTCCGGAAATAATAATGACTTGAGAGTCTCGAATTCGAAAGAGTCAGAAACAAACTCACGTTTCCGTTCGGGCTTGAGGAATCAAATATCGTTGCGCAATAACGATTTTCTCCTCCGCTAGATAACCACTCACATCTATCAATTCCATACGATCCTTCAGTGGGCCAGGAATTGAATCAGTCACATTTGCCGTGCAAATAAAAAGCACACTGAAAGAGCAAGCAACTTTTTTCACACGATAAAAACATGTATGAAGAGGAAGACAGCAATTTTGATATGTACGCGTTCGAACGTCAAACTTTTCATGGTTTTCTGGTCCGCACAATTCACTTGAAAAGAGGAAATGGGACAACACCAAAGCTCGTGCGCTTTACCTTGTTCGTTTTCTACTTTCATTAGTAGTGAAAGCTAAATGGAAGCTAGACGCAAACGTCAATAGATAAAAGTAAAATCGAAAATTTTCACTTTACTGTCGGTGGAATAATAAAAAATTTAAATAGCTACGAATAAGAAAGTACCGAAAAACAAAGTCAGAAAATGATCATTGAAATTGGCGTTTTGTTCAGGGTCCAACAACTCGAGAAGAGCACTTGCTGGATCTCCATGATAACCAGCACCACCAATCTTGTCTACCTCGTCAATCAGCACCAACGGATTTTCGGTTCGAACCTAGACTAAGCCAAATGTTAGTACAACCGATTGTAAAGCAACAAGTTGTTAGGAGCTAAGCCTTACCTTTCTTCAGACACTGTATCATTTTTCCAGGCATAGCTCCCACATACGTCCTCCTGTGCCCTTTTATTTCAGCAACGTCGGTTCATCCACCCACTGAGAAGCGGAAATACTGAAAAAAAAGAATTTTTTTAGAGAAGCTCCGATCATTTCGAAATGAACGTCTTCATCCCATGAACATACCTGTCTATTGAGTGCTTCAGCTTGATGGGACCTGTGCAGATGCTTGTTTTCCCGTCCCCGGCCAGGCCCATCGCGTTGAACATACGAATTTTATCCTCTTCAAACGTGTCCCTGTAAACTCTAACTGAGCGAAATTCATGGCAGTGAAAAAGAGACGCTCACTTTAGCATGTTCACTGCAATGAATTCGAGAATGCGCTCCTTCACGTCTTTCATTCCATAGTGACCCTTATCCAATGCAATCCTCGCTTTCGGCAGATCGCTATTTTCTTCTGAGGTGATTCCCCATGGAATGTTTGTTAACCAGTCGAGGGTAATTCCTTTAACATGGATGTTTTAAACCTACAGACTTTCTGGATCTTGTTCTCCGGAGTACTATGACGAAAATGATTCTAGCCGTTGGGTTCTTATGAACACACCTTAGTGACCATCGACGCGGACGAGCAGGAATTGGAGTTTTTGTTGCCTCTCTTGATCTACCTTTGAGATTTAGGCTCGAATAATTCTAGAAGAAATCCAACAATGTTGCGGTGTTACAGCAAATGCCAACCTTCATTGCGTACTCCGGTACAGTTAGATCTTTAAGTCGCTCCTCCATCTTCTCAATAATCGTGGACTTATCGTCCTTCTCTAATCCTAGCTCCTTTTTAATTACTTTGAGCTGAAACGTATTTCACTAGTAATAGCCACACCTCTTAATATGTAGAATGAGCCAAAGAACGACACTCAATAATCATACAGCATGGAAGTTCTCTAAGAAGTTGCACAGTACTTAGAGCATGTAGAAATGAAAGTAACCTGTTCATTGAGCAGGTATTTCCTGTGCTGATCTTGGACTTTTTTCTCAACATCCTTATTGATGTCGAACTTCAATTTCGCAACAGTTTTCTCCTTCTGAATGAGGACCAATGCAAGGTCCAGACGTCTTGATACCTGAGTAGGTGCGAATATATTCTTCTGGATTGTAACTTACGAACGATAAAACTCTATGACTTATAACTTCACTTTGATTTCCTCCATCATTTCTTGAAGCTCTTTAGTGTCAGCTGACTGTACAAGAGTAGCAACCAAATCGCATAAATACACGGGATTTTCAATCACGTTTTGAGAAGGATGTAGAAGGAGGTTTATCTGCTGCCCGAATAACGCACTGTATTGGACAACGTCGCTGAAACATGGGGATTTTAGTCTTCTCCCACGACGATAAAGGACTTAAATGTTATAAAACACAAAGAGGCACCAAAATTTATTTCAAAAGAGTCCCAAAAGTTCACAAATATTCAAAAAACTCCAAAATTCCAAAAAACACGAAAGTTTCAAAAAGAACTCCTTTGAAATCTTCTGCTATATTTCGGTGTTTAACACCTTCTTCAGGCATGTGTATGCCTCAGCCAAGGATTTAGCTGCCCTTACGGGAGCCGCGGCCGTATTCAATTATCAAACCGGCGCAGGTCTGGTCCGCGTAAAGGGAGACTGAAATCCTATAAAGTGAGGACATACACTATAGCCTGCTTAACAACGTTGTTAAAACACCGAAACTTATGGCACGAAAATTTCAAAGGCGAGTTATTTATGAAATTCAGGATATTTTGCGAAATTTTCGGAGTTTTATTTCGAAAGACCACCTTGCTGAACTATTTAGCGGACTCTTCTTGAATATGAAATTATTTCTGGCTCTTTGGTTGTTATAACATTTGGGTCCTGATGAGGCTCCGAGATAGCACAATACTGAGAGATAAATTAGTTGTTCAAGTCAAAATCGACTTCCCCTTTGGAAGGAAATTTGTTGAAATGATAGAATTGAAATAGCAAACTAAAACAGTGTGGTTCGCCAAACGTATGGGATTCATGGAGGCGCATGGGAGCGATAGCTATCGAAGAAAATCTAGCTGAATACCTGGCCGGCGGGTTTGAATTGAGATCTTGAATAAATAGATAGGGGAAATACGCCTAAATATCGCTGCTATAACACATAGTCCATGCATAAAACAAACCGAATAGTTTGCACCACAGCCTGCATCTTCGCTTTTGTTTCATTGTTTCTTTCAGCAGGCTCTGCGATAACATTTTCTGTTCGAGCTAACAAGATTGATGTTCGATCAGCTGGGTTAGGCAATGGCTTAGGAGGTGGCGATGATCCCTAAACCAGCGGAGCAATTCTGCAACGGGGCAAAACATGAGAACTTTTGCAAAAAAAGCACCTTTTTTCTATATCCTACTCTTCGGCCATTGAGAGCTTTGTGCGGTTCTTCAGCAGCTCCTTCTTCAACAGGTTCCAATATGCGTATTCTACAAAATAAGGCATGAACGAGGTCTTGAATGTCTAATGAATTTCAATTACCTTCTATGAGCACTCAAAACCAATTCCAGAACTTTGCCGTGGTCACGCATTTCTATGATCTGAAAAAAGAACATGTTCAGTGCTGGTTTTGCTCTGCCACAGCAACAAAAGGGACTATAGGATTTCCTTTCTCATCAAGAGAATCCTGTTGCACATACCTGAGCAAAACATCCAACATTGTAGAGCTGTGATAACGAAGACACTATTTCTTCCTTATTTCTTAAAATATCAATTATATAAAAGCAACACGCAAAACAGACAGTAGTACGAGGAAGAACAAACTAACTCGTCGTCCTGTTTAACGAAAACTCCAACATATGGTTGCTTAAGAGCAACTCTGTTTCGAATAACCTGTTTGAGTGCATCATCCTTCACTATCTGAAAAAAGTGGCACTTCGAAGTAAGTACGGACCTTAGTTATGCACACAAGGTGAAGGCCTATTCATTTTGCGAAATACATCTGGCGAGAAGCACTCCCACTTCGACCCGATTGCTCATTCTTTCATTTTCAAACAATCCGCTACTATTTCAGGCTGCTAAAAATTCGATATCTGAGGGTCGTACTTTGCAGTTCGATCATGGAGAAGATATGTATCGAAGGTGCGATCCATGATTGATCCGCATCTATTCCACACAAACTGCTAATCGAACTGCAGGTATGACCCGACCCTGAAGCGCCACAACAGAGGTCTTCTGATGCTGACAGACGACTAATCATCACAAAGTTGAAGCTTTTAAATGAAGAGCAGAAAAGGAGCGTTATCACGACCCTACCCCCAGACGGAACTGCTATAAGATAAGGAGAACATACCATGGATTGGGGAAATGTTGCCTGAGAATGACAATATTTTAGCATTTCAGAAAGAAAAAAGCAAAAATTCGGCACTATTGCACTATTACAACCCCAGTGGGGGCCGAGATGGGTCAAAAAATAATTTTCGCTGAAACTTCTGCTATGGGGGTTATCGAGGGTCCTGATCACGAATATGACCTTCATTTTTGGCGCTGGCGCCAAATTGGCGCCATTTGGCGCCAACTGGCGCACTGATTATCACCTAATTCGCTGTAACTTCTGTATAGAGGTTATTTGGAGGCCCTGTCACGATTTGACAATTTCGTGTGACTGAAGATATGTTCTGTTTTTTTTAGCTTTTCACTTAGGCCTAAGAGTAAGCTTTAGGGGAGCGAGGATGAAACGAGTGCGGGTAACGTGTGGCAAAGTTGGGAGCGGGTAGACACAGGGAAGTGGCCTATCACTTCGGACGTCCACTATTTTTTTTTTTTTTTTTTTTTCAACGGATCTTATTCTGTTGCGATCTAATTAGTGCGAGGGCGCAGACGAGCAGGAAATAGGCGCCGAATAGCGCTAACAACAAAAACGAATGTCATATTCGTAATCAGGACCCCAAATAACCCCTATACAGAAGTTTACAGCGAATTTAGTGGGAATCAGTCGTGGCGCCACCTGGCGCCAAATGGCGCCAAATTTGGCGCCAGCGCCAAAAATGAATATCATATTCGTGATCAGGGACCCTCGATAACCCCATAGCAAAATTAATTAGTTTTTGACCTATTCTCATCCTGGGGCTGTAGATAGTGCAAAGCCGCCAATTCAACTGAAATGGACTTGTTGAATTGCTGCTGATCGGTCAGGCAATGCGGAATTAACGATCGAGAAATTCCTCGACCATGGCGCTCCAGGTGGCCAGAGTACCAGAGACTGAACGTTAATGCGTAGAGCACAGACGGCTCGCGCATGACGAGTGTGAATGAACACGCGGGAGAGCGTGAATGAACAAGCAAAATCTTCGACAACCCGTTGAGGAATCCTCGACCGATATTCACCCTGGTTCCAGGCCAAACTAGGAAAACTTGAATTAAGTGAACTCACATCTACTTTCTTTATGAAGCCAGGAAACAATGGGTAACGATTTATTGCTATGACTGGTACAATGGGAAAGACATCGGGTATATTGATGGTGCTCATTCCACTCTGAAATGACCGGATCTCTCCAGAGAAAAAGCCAAACAGGAAAAAATTCTGTAGACTCACAATATCAGTGCCCTCAACAATGGCAGTCTCTAACGTTCCAGACTCTTCCTCTGGTGATGACGCAGGGTTGTCATTCTCTCCATTAGAACTGAAACCTTTTCACATAGAACCATCTCATAACAGACAAGCTTGCTTGCATAGGCCTTGGTAAACTACCTGGAAAACAGACGAACTTGCTGAGGTGATTTTATTGAGAGCAGTGGACCACGAACAGCAGCTGCATTCCAGGGCACAGTTAAGGAGGAAGCTGACCGTAACCAAGACCGCCGGAGAGCACTGCGCAAGCACAATGCGCCCGTTCGTAACATCCCCCTTCAAAACTCGTCTGTCGGGTGATTTTGAATATTTACTAAATATTGTTTAGAGGGCACCAATAATAAGTATATAGAATATGACTAACGCACACCAACACAATTCAATCGTCCAGAATTTATACCCCGCAATAAAAGAAGACAACGAAATTAACCACAAAAAATAATAATAAACAGAAGGAGCCGGTAAAACCAATTATTTCGTCTTCTTGGTTTCCTTGCTTTCAGACGTGTCAACTGGTTGCCACTGTAAAACAGCAATTACAGAAAAGCTTCACTGCATATTGGATTCTGACTTACAACAATAGGATTTTTACGGAAGAGGAATGGCCATGGAGGTAAGATGATCAAGGCAGATAATGCGGCTCCAGCCAGGACGGTGTAAATGGCATGCGACAGTTGCTGAGTTGCGAAACCAATGCCGAAGCCGATAATACCAGCAAGTACGATGATGACCTGAAAATCTACTTGAGAGGACCAGAAAAATCTATTTTGAATCTATTTTGTTTGGTTTTTCACTGTCGACGTGCATTTCGCTTCACAAAGGGATGGTTTCAAGCTGTTTACTGTGTCGTTTGAACATTAGCATTAGCCAAATAAAAACGCGAGCCTCAATTCCAAAGCAGGGTCGTGAATAGAGGGATTCAGGAAATGGCACTATAACAACATTGGCAGTTTTTTTGGCCCTGTAAATGTGAATCAACAGAAATCCGGAAATAGTTATACGCTAGGCAATGCATGCCGAATCAGTCTCGTCTAACTGAAACTCGAACGCTGAATCATCCAAAAAAGAAAGCCGAAGTAGAATGACTTTTCAGCCGTTGGAAAATTTTCCAACCCTCAAATCCCATTCCACAACGACAGCTTTGAACAATCCCATCTTCGCTCGTTCGTCTTCAAGACTCAGAGCCGATCATACTTTTCAAACGCGCTATCGTGCGGTCGTGCGACTCTTTGAGGAGTCGATCATAAATGCGCTCGTGCGTGTAGTACAATCATGCGGTCGACACGTATTTACTACACACCCAAGCTGCAAATTGAGCTGCAAAAGTATGACCCATCCCTTAGGGCGCATTCATAGTCGGTCGCCTGATCGTGACGATCGTTACGATCGCACGAGCGTTTGAGATACGTATCGCACATCGTCGCCCACGCAACACGTCTTACGATCTATACCGGCATCCAATGTTTGCGACCGTTCACGATCGTTGCAGATCGGATGACGAATATGAAGCACACCTTAGGCCCTGTTCAGAGATGTCCGGCTGCGCGAAAAAACGCATAGGCGAAACAATGTGAAATATGTATCGACTGAACGAAGACGCACAGGCGAATCGTGAAGTGGGAGGATCGACGAAAATGAGTATCATACGCATCGACTTACGAACGCTTCGCTCACGCGATTTTCCGCCTGTGCGTTTCTCACAGTCGATACATATCAAACTCTTGACTGAAATTCGCCTGCTCCGGACGTTTCGCTTACGCGTTTCACAATTTCTCAGTCGATGCGTATCTAAATCTTGGCGGAGATTTTCGCCTGTGCGTTTTTTCGCGCCGGCGGACATCTCTGAACAGGGCCTTAGGCGCGTCGTGTGTTCAGGTCACAATATCCACGGCGAAAATTGGCGTTCTTCACGTGAAAGGCAACATAAGAACCTGGACTAGAAAACGAAAAAGTCCATAGGCTAAGTCCGCAGCTACACATCACTTTTTTATACTTCCTCAGTCTCAAATTAGGTGATGCTTGATTTATTACCTGGAACGTTCTTTCAGCTGCCTTCTGGCCAGTGAAGTCAATGTGGGGGTTGAGAACAATCTCAACGGTTCTGGCAGCATCTGAATAATCCCGTCCGTCGCGAAAAATTTCATTTAATACTGCGAAATAAACAAAATCATACGGAGTTCGAAGGGGTACTTATGAGACGAGACATATGAAACATCAAAGGTACTATTACTATTACTACTGACGAGTTGAGAAAAAGAACGAACCAATGAGGGACTGTTACGTACCTCGCCTACCTAACAGGTCACCAAAATGCTCAGTGGATCTGCCTAGGCTCTACCAAGTAGGTTAAAGCTCTAACCAACAACAAGGCGTAACCTTACAACTATGCTGCATGCAAGAGAAAACATGAGTATGTGGGGTGTCTGGTGTAAAGTCTGTAATTCCTAACCCAGGTGACTTGTAAAACGACCACAACCATAACCACACACACACAAACGGAATCTCAACCTATTTTTATGACGGGATAGGATATTTCCTTTTCCACAACGAACCTGCACCACTAGAGATGAGATAGAAGACAATATTAAAGAAGCTGATTGAGATGATATCCACAAAAACGTGGTTAAACCGAATTCCATTCAACCGAAATTTGACAATGACGACACCAGTCGTGCATTTGCGGACTCTCAGATGCCACGCCAGCGCCGTTCTTCATTCGGTCCCGCAGTCGCCAAAAAACTTTCAACCCGGAGCGGCCGTATCGGATTTTGCGGAGTGTGTTCCTCCTTCGCTCATGTCTCTCTCTTCTCTGATGTGTTCGCGATATTTAGAAATATTGATGTTATGGAAGTAATTCGTTTTGCAGTTGCGGAAGGGCCGCGGACTCACAGCAGGTTGTGCTTCCTTTCGAAGACTTCGTCAACATTCAGCGACTCTGATTAGGACTTATGAAAACTTACGGTAAACAATTGGGTCATTCTGTTTTCAGTATTCTTAGTCTCATGTGGGAGGAGTACTAGAACACGGCCAAACTGCTGAATTGATCAGATGCTTATTGAGGCGCGTGAATCCGACCGCTCTTTTTCTATTTTTCATTCTCAATTCTCATTTCTTGTAGTATCCATCGATTGCATTTCGACATGAGCCACTGTGAGCGTGTCACTTCTTAGCAATTGCTAACTGATTCTCCTATTTTCGCAAGGTCCAACCACAACCATATTGTATATACATATGGTCGCTAAATGTAAGCTGCACTTCTTTATTAGAATACGGGAAGGGATTTTGGTGCTAACTTAGTTGGGGGGGGGCACGCGGCGGCGCGGCAGTCTGCTCGCCTGGCATGTTCGGAAATCCGTGGGCCAGGGGGAGTGTAGGCAGTCTAGGGGGGTGGGGGTGGGGGCAGTCACTTGACATGCGTGAAAAGCTGGAATGTTCGAGTTTACACTGTCTCGCTCGAGAGAGCCCAGGTGAGCAGACTGCCGCGCCGCCGCGTGGCCCCCCCAACTAAGTTAGCACCGACTTCTGTCAGTAGATCTTCGTTTGGAGGATAGCAAAGATAGGGTTCTCTATGTTTAACGGTGTTGTTCCCTTAACAGAATCAATTGAGAGGGTGGTTAAAGCTGTTCTTCATCGTGTACATATAGACTAGCGTTCCTTGGTCCCATCTTAAGGGGAACTGTTTGCTGCTAGGTTTTCGCTGAAACTTAGGCTGGTGTCAGAGTCCGCGATCCGTCGCAGGTTTCGCTGATTTTCGCGATTTGCGCGATTCACGCGATTCACGCGACGGGTCACGGAAATCACAAGTGCCCGATCAATACTGCAAGGTGTTCTCCAATCCTGCCGCCACTTCTGCTTGATAGTGATGGCTGAATGACGACTGCTCATGATTCCACTTGTTTCATATTCAGTGTTTCAAATGTTCAAATGGGGCACTTGCAATTTTTGCGATCCGTCGCAGGTTTCGCTTAATTTGTCGCCAA